AAATAAGAAAGGATTGTTTTGTTTTCAAAGTTTTTATTCTATTTTCATAATAAAACACTGTGGCCCCAAGGAGAAAATTCTTTTATCTAGTGTAGCAGTCAATGTGTTAAAGAAAAAAAGCAACGTATACTATTTTAAATATAACGTTTACATTAGAACAGACAAAATTTTAAAGTTTAGTTGATGCTTATGTAAACACTCAAACTTTTTACCTGTAGCTGTTTTCTCTTTAATTTCTTCCAGCTTCATCAATGTAGCTGATGTTATTTGCTCAAGATCCAATCCCTTATTTGATTGAAAGAAATCAACCACTGCATTGATGGTTTTCTGTAAAAGAATTTTAAAACATAACCAAGTTACATATAGTACTTTCTGTATTATAAATTTTAAGGTTTCACCTCAATTCTAAACAGCTGTGGCTTTGAGCCAAGGAACTCTAAAGATATTCTGTCCTACTATTATACATCTCCCTATGGAGTGAAAGAGAACTTGGAGAAAGAAATAGCCCAAGTAAGCCTAATGGAGAGACGACAAATGTGTGTATATCATTAAGGTACCAAGTACATGTTCGTCATTAAGGTACCAGTACATGTTTGCCAGTGTCATACGGATGCAGCAACAGACATTACTTCTAGTTTTAGCCTCCAATTAGTCAGAAGGTGAAATTCTACTTCTCTACACTATTATTGGATTTCCTTGCCCTTTTAAGTTTACAGAAGAAATAGCAAAAAAGCTGTTCAGCCCTTACCTATATGCAAAACTTGAACTTAAAAAAAATCAGAGATTTTCCAAGATGAAAAGAGTTCGGGAGATTGGTCGTACAACAATGTGAATGTACTTAACACTACAATTTTTAAAACTGTAGAATACAATGAGCTCTGGAGTCTTTATATACTGTCTTCCATACACACCATAAATCCAGCTCTAAACTGCAAAGTAAAATTAAGTCAAGGATCTCAACGAGAGGGTGGGGCCAATTCTCCAAGCAAAGAGACAAGTAGTGAACCATGCCCATCTTACTGACTAACCTGAGATGATGGATAACATAGCCTGAATAAAAGGTGAAGGCACAGATACAGAACTTGAAGAGTCAACATTTTCAATAACATATAAATGCTGATACTTTTTTCTCATGTGAACAATATTGAAATTTCTTTTCATCACTCCTAAAGCTCTTTGAATTGGTTCCAAACATTGACAGCAAAGAGACAATACACAAAAAGGAACTGAAGTAGGAAGTCAGTGTACAACTAATTGGGAGTAGTAACTGGTACAATAAACATGATTTTTTAAAGTATATTAGATTTTTAAAAATTTAACATAAGTGTAAACATTATAGTAAAAAAAAATCTATAGCATGTAAAATAATCAAAATTAACAGCTAAGCATGTACTGCTTTTGAAACAAGAAATGTTATGAAATGTAACTGTTAAGTAAATAAATGTTAAGTATGAGCGAGGAGCGACAAGAAAAACACGTGTCAAAAATATAAGATGGTTTTTAGAAAGAATCACTTTCTCCTTGCACTTACAGCATCATAGATGACCTCCACAGGCTGAGACTCAAAAATCAGAGTCTGGTCAGCAGGACTATTGTCTGGATTGGTTTCAAACTCTATTTTAAGCAAGGATGATGCAGTATCACCAATTGAAGCCACAAGTGATGGTATAGTATCTTGCTGTCTCAGACCTGTTATATACCAGTGTTCTAATTTTGCTTCTACCCTACAATCCAATGAAGAAAAAGGAAGTGATATAAATAATCTCCTTTGTAATGTAATAGGTTAAAATAGACATTTTCTTTTAAAAACCTTTGAGAACCAGGATCATGCACATTACCCAGAGCTGAAGTTCAATCTCCTTAGCCTGGTATTCCATTACCCACACAATCTGGTCTGTTGCTGCTGTTGTTTTTACTAACTCCTCCTTATCCAGATAAAAAAACCATTTTACTTAACTCCAGAATACTGCAAAAGTTTTGATCGCTGTTGTATGAATAAAAGCTCATGCGACATGGATGAACTCCTCTATTTCCATGCCACCTTCAACACCCTCCCACCTCATCCCTGCTTCTCCTAGTCCTTTCCATTCAGCTAGCGTAAGCCTTTTCCTAGCTCAGTTATTCTCTTCCACGACTGAGCTCATGTAGCATTAACCATAATGTATTTAATTTTACAATACCTTCTTATCTTTGAACTAACATGTTATATTGTTCTTGAATTATTAACTTTTTGTATATCCTCTCTAATCAATGATAGCATAAACTTCTTGAAAAAAGAAACGTATTGTACCTATTCAAAACTTTCACAGAATTGAGCCCATAAATTAAAACAGTATCCAACAAGTATTTGTGAAGGAAAGGAGGGAGGGTGGAACAAATGATGAAGTACCCAAATAGCTCTATAATACAAGAAAAACAAAGATAAAAAGACTATCTTGGTACACACAAGGAAAAGACATTAAAGAAGAGCTACTACTAATGAGCTTTTTTAATCCTGAATAACACACAATTTTTTGTCCTAAAATCGTAACTAGAAATAAAAATTGAAATAAGACGTTTTTAAAAACTTACTTAAGTGCTTGTGCTCCTGGTCGCTGAGATACTTGAGTGCCCAGGCCAATTACCTGAATTTTTAGTATTTCTGGAATATTTCTGTCTTCTCTGATTGTAATAGAGGTGCTTACTAACTTCAGGGTCATTATGTGGGCAACATACTAAACAGAAAGAAAGAATGAAAAGTTTTAAAGTTTAAATAATTACTTTTTTGATAATTTCTTATTTAAATTTGTTGAATAATAAAGTGATCTAGGCCGGGCGTGGTGGCTCACGCCTGTAATCCTAGCACTCTGGGAGGCCAAGGCGGGCGGATCATTTGAATTCAGGAGTTCGAGACCAGCCTGAGAAAGAGCGAGACTCCGTCTCTACTAAAAAAAA